GGGGGGGGGGGGGGTGTTGGTGGGCTAGGTTTTCGAGAAACACATTATGACCTGCATAGCAAGTATCGTTGTGAATCGGATGTGTTCCTTCTTCTTTGTGTTAAATGAAAGAATAGTTGTTATCTTATAACTAACTAATTTTACTACCCTTCGAGCATGTTAAATAGTCACGTGATATACATAACTATATTTTCTGTTTATCATGCATGGAAGATGTTTACTAGTAATGTACTTTTATTGCACGCTATAATTGTCTGAAATGCATTAATTTAATGCTTAAACTGCCAATACATCTGTAAACAAATTAGAAAAATCATAAATATTTTGAATACACAAAAATAATGAATAAATTCACTGAATTCGCAAGTTCAATTTTCATCCTAGAGGAAATTACAAGAGGGTGGAGGGGGAGACAATGGGCTTTTTCTGAAAATAATAAAAAAAATCTATATTGTATATATTCTTATATTGTGACTTTTATTAGACTTTAAGTCTAAAAATGCATATGTATTGCAGAACTGAAATACATATTTGAATAAATAAATAATAATGAATAAATAATGAATAAATTCACTGAATTCGCATTTTCAATTTTCATCCTATGGTCTTTTTCTGAAAATAATTAAAAAATCAAATTCTTATAATGTGGCTTTTATTAGACTTTTAGTCTAAAAATGCATATGTATTGCAGAACGGAAATACATATTTGCAGTTAGCTGAATGAAATCCAAAATGTGCACTGAGAGCGAATCAAATGAAGTATTTAATATTTTTTACTTTCAAATCTGAATAATATTTCATGACGGCAGAATTCGTCAGAGATTTCACCGCAAGTAGAAAACTCATTTTTGCACTGCACACATGGCTACCCTCTGCAGGGAGGGCTTAGAAAGGGGAGGGAATTGTTAGATATATTAGGAACTGATAACTTTCTTCAAAGTCTAATTTTGTAATCCTTAAATCTTTGCAACCTAATAACGTAGACCTTTCATATTTCAAATAATCTAGGTTTAAAGTATCAAAGATTTGTTTTCTGTTAGAAAATTTTATAAATAATAATAAACCACCTCAAGCAAAGTAAATTGTACATGAGATTAAAATCTCAAATGTTTTCAATTATAACTCCTCTTCTTGAAGAGTATTGAGAAGAAAAAAAGTTTTTATGTTTATTTTTTTATGTGTAGTCGAATGAACTTGCTTTGTTCATACTTGTGCAGCATAAAATAAAGACTAGAGGAGCTACGAGGTCACAATGTTTAAATGTTGTACCAGCTAGTAATATCGCATAAAATAAAGACTAAAGGAGCTACGAGGTCACAATGTTTAAATGTTGTATACCAGTAATATCGCATAAAATAAA